CAGAGAGGGATGGGGGCAGAGAGGGATGGGACAGAGAGGGATGGGGACAGAGAGGGATTGGGCAGAGAGGGATGGGGGCAGAGAGGGATGGGGGCAGAGAGGGATGTTCGTCGCTCTGGGGGTGGTCGCACCGAGGGGCAGCATCGCTCCGTGGGCAGGCAACCTCAACGTGAAAAACACAAGGATTTGAGGAGTGTGAAGCAAATTCGCAAATTAAAGATGTAAGTCCAGAGGTAAAGAGTGTACCAGCCTTAATCAACTGAAAAACATCTCTCTTGGCTTTGTTGAAGTCACACTGCCTCATCATTTCAGGACATACTCCCAATTTCTTTTGGGAAATACTCCCCCCAGTTTCTTTTTTTTGGCAAGCAGTGAACAATTGCCCCCTACCCCATTACCTCTACGTAGCATTCACAATTCCTTCTCCATCTGTTACTCCCTCTGTCCTGTCTTTCCCAGAGTCAAGACCTCAGTTCTCTTTTATTCTGCTTTCGTGCAAGTTGCTGCTTTTTTGTTTGAAGTCTTTGAACTGTGCAGCCAGGACCACAAGTGATAGGGAAGAACCAGACACTCGGCAGCATAAATATACTTTCAGTTTTGATCTCAAACCCTTTCCTGGGAATTCCTAACACGCCTTTCTGATTGACACTGAAGGCTGGGCTCCTGGAATGGTAAATACCTGATCTTGAGCCCAACCTGGCTGCTGTGCCTCCTATGTGGCACTTTCAAATAGCAAATCTAATGGTTTACACCTGACTAGCACCCAGTCACTCAATGCAGTGGTCTGGTCCTTAGCTTGTGCTCACCAGCTCCAGAAAAGTCATCTTGATTGGGTTTTGTGGAAATGTATCTTGTCTGCATATTCTGGTAACTACAGAAAATGGAAGTTCGTGAACAAGAAATCCCGAGTGCCAAAATTCTGACTGCAAATATAAATATTTAATTTTTTTTTCCTTAAAATTTGAGATTTTAAAACTGATATTTTAATTTCCATGGATAAGTTAATACGTTGCACAAAAAGACCTTGAAACAATGTTCCATTATGTGCGTGCACTTACACACAGGAAACCTGATCACCGGGTTGGCTGAAGGGAGCTTTTGTCTAGAAATTGCTTATAGCAATTTGATATTGCCTGCATGGTTATCAGCTCAGATAATCTACACCTGAAACTTTAGATTTTTCAATGCATACAACAATGTGCATTCTCCGTGAGGGGAGTTTTCCTCAAGCACCAGGTCTCTAATGGATTTTGGGGGGGACTGTGATCCTGGATAAATGTTGGAGAGAACATGGGCACACAAGCACTGCGGAAACTTGTCAATTATTTGTTTTCCCAAATAAAATCTTTTTCTCCTTTTTAGAAGAAATGTTATTCCACGTATACAGTAACAAAGAGAAAGGATGTTGCCCTCATTTTTCATGCACGTTTTCTTGCAAAGCCAGAAGAAAAGCTGGCTGAATGAGGTAATTATTCACATAGCAGCATTAATCATGAATTATATGAATTCTCTTTAACTGGGAGTAACACATTTCCATGCCAAATTCAGAACATCTGCTGAGTCAGGGGGAATACTGGACGTGATTTTGCCAAACTGCTGTTATACTGGAGGGAGCTGGGACCACTGAAGCAAAGCTACTTTGGGGCAGTGGCACAAGCAGGAGCATCTTTGCACTCAAAAGTAGTTTCCAGCCCAGTGCCACGTCCTGCCCACGGGCTGAGGGGCTCGTGGCTCTCACCTCCCCCTGGCACTGCCAGGTACAGTGCTGTTTGTGGAGACCTGTGGATACACCTCCAGCTCCCAGCTGACAGGGGATCTCCTCTTACTGCTAACAGGCAGCAGTGCCATATGGAAAATTGGGAAGGGATCCATGCTTTCTGCTGCTCTGAACCCCAGCCTGGGCTTGCAGCCACTCACAAGTGCTGGTGAGAGGAAGATGAGTGTGGTTTCGATTATGGATGAGGAATCTTCTTCCTCCTGCCAAGAGGGGGAACAGGGAGATTGTGTCATCCTGGACACTCTTGGTTCTGGCTCCTCCACTCCAACAAACCCATTGTCTCTCTCAGTGCCACACTCCTTTGACCAATTTACATCCTTTCCACAGCAGGTTTATAATGCTACTGATAAAAGGGAAGAAATTTCCCACCACCTCACCCAGAGCTTTATATTTTCTCTGGGAGAGCATTGCAGTACAGGAATTGGGGCAGGCTCAGGAACTCATGGTAGATTCCCACTTAACCACTCTGGGAATTAAAGAATCAACTCAGCAGGGACAGAGTATGTTAGAGATAAAAAAGGGCTATGAATTTCTTACCCATCTGTAAACGATTTCTGGGCTAGGATGCATTTCACTGGAAATACAGCTGATCCAGGGATAAAATCCCTTTAAATATTAACCTGTTAGTGACATATAATGGCTTAAGCTGCTGTACAAGAAACAAATAAAAGGACATTAAAGCTCACTGCTGCAGCCAGAGTCACTGGGTCTAATGCATGGTGTGTCTTTGAGGGGCTGAGTCACACGAGCAGAGCCAAATAAATTAAAAAGCAATGTACAACCAGCCTGAAGCAGTGGGTGAGTGGTGATGAGAGGTCAACTTCATGGCTACAGCAAAGAGACAGATCCACCCAGGCTGTGGGAAGACATGTCAGGGGCCACATAGCAGAAATAGTTTTCCCCTCCAGGAGCTACCAAAGAAGCCTGTTTCTGTGGGTAGCAAAACATGAGTGCTGCTCTGCAGGAATGTGTGTGGAAGATGAATTAGAGGCAACACACACCCCAGAAACAGGCATGGAGGGCCCCACTATGAATTGCTGCAGAGCTCTTCTCTGCCCCTCCTTGCCCAGGACCTGGGTAGGTTTTACTGGAGGAGCAGCATTCCAGAAAGAATGAGGCAGTGAAGGGAATCTTCTAGTCTTTTCATATCTATTTATCTATATGTAATCTATATCTATATCTAATCTGTATCTATCTATATCATATCTATCTTTTTTTTTTATATAGGTAGCACTTCTGACAAATGCCTGCAGTAGCTCATGTCCTGTGAGAAGATTTATCTCCAGACCTAGAGGTAAGACCCAGCTGATGCAGTTCCATAGTGCTGGACCTCCTGGGACTGGCTGCCCTCAGCCTGAAGGACCAGGACACTTCCCAGTTCCATCCAACATGTCCCCCCAGCCCCCAGCCTGGCTGAGCACCAGCAGTCAGGGCAAGCATTCCATGAGCAGCTCCCAAGCACCATCCAACATCTTTGCTTGAGAGCCACGAGCAGCCCTGTCTGCTGCACCAAGGTCTTCCTCTGGCACAGTTTGTGGGGAGCAGGAGGAGCAGCAGGATCTGGAGCCTGGCAAGCTGCATCCACGCTCCCACCCAGGCAAAGCTGAGGAGGTTTTGGCTGAGATGAGCCAGCTCAGTAGGGATGTGCTTGAAGCTGAGAGGAGAGCAATGCTGTAAAACCAGCCACAGTATGGCAGAAAAGGTGTTTTTCTCTGTCCTGTCAGCAGGAGACAGCCAGTTGTGAGTCATGCTCCCTGCTCCCATCCCCCAGGTTGAGTTTCCACACAGCAGCTATTGATAAGGCCTTGAAAGAGCAGGAAGTTTCCCTGGCAGAGGCAGCTGGGTGAGGAACATGTGGTTATACTGCCAATGAGCCTGAGTGGAGCACTTTGCTCAAAGCCATGAACAGGTTTCTGAGCTTTGACTGTTCCATCAACAGCCACCAGCTCACAGTGGCTCAACTCAGCCCCTCCAGACTTCGTGGTCATATCACAGAACCACAGAATGGTTTGGGCTGGAAGAGACCTTAGAGATCATCCAGTGCCAACCCCCTGCCA